ATGATTCATGTGTCTATTTTGCATATATGGCTCCATATCATAGAACTGAGTCAAAGGTCATAGAAAGGTCTAAGGTTGCCAGCTGGCTAGTAGCCTGTGCTATGCTATATTCTCTGCAGTCTTTGTAACGGTGTTGTTACTTTGAAGGTCACTTTTATATAGCATGCATCTTTGCTTCCATTTAAAAAAAAATGTAATTTCAGAAAAGGTAATAAAATAGTTTTTATTAAAATGCATAATTAAAAATACTTTTAAAGTAACAATTTTCTATTATATTGTATCAGTTTTTCCCTCAATTTTGTATGTTTTAAAGTTAAATGCATCAGTCTGGTGCAGTTTGATAGCAAAATTAAGAGCTTTTAAGTGATCAAATTGAAGAGTTAAAAATGTCTATGCACTATACGCTATATAGCAACTGCACTGTAAAATGTTAGTTATTTTACTTTACAGTAGTAAAATTATGATACTTATGTCTTAATTTCTTCACTTGCGTGTTAAAAAAAAACGCATGAAGGCATTTAAAGGCACAATATGTAAGATTTTTTTATTAAAATATCCAAAATCCACTAGAACAGTGTTATATATTTAGCTGACTTGAGTTTTGAAGAATGTTTAAATCCAAAGAAATAAGCAATTTTAACTAGTGACGCGCTCCATGTCTATAGCGTCATTGTGTTGCCTGCCAATGACATCATACACCCTTGATTTCCGGTTTTGTTTTGTAGAAAACATGGAAACACCAAAGATGCTTTAAAGGGGTCCTATTATGCTTTGATGAAGGTCTGCCTTCCGAAAAACAAAATGTGTTGTGATTGGTTAGCTGTCCCAGTGCGTTGTGATTGGCGAACAGCTTAGACGGTGTTTTAGTACTGCCCCGCCTCTTGCTCTGTCTCAACAAAAGCTTTTGGGAATCACTCTTGATGTGGAAGCTGTCCTCAGTAAAATGCGCAGCACACAATAGCAAATTGGGGTTATAATGCTCAGGAACCGAGTTAAAAAGTAAATTGCAATCCGCTTTCGGAAGTGAAAAAAAACAGCGTTTCAGGCGGTCGCACACCGGATGAGAAGCGCAGCGTTGCGCCATGTCTTTAACATTCAAATACATTATTTTCTATGAGTGTAGGCACACCGGCGGTGCTGTTCGGC